GGGGGGGAGCCCCGGCCACCAGGCACTCGCATTCGAGCCCCAACCCCGGGCCTGGCTCCAGGGTGGGGCCCCGGCTGCGCCATGCCGGGCGATGTCACGGTCCTTGATTTTAATCTATCTAGGGAACTGCTCTTAGTCTGACCTGTCACCCAGGACCAGTTTGCCTTGGGAGACCCTACCAGGGACATATAGCCCCCGGCAACATAGCTCCTAGGATCACTCGGGTACTCAAACCCCTCCACCACACACTGACTATTCGCATGTTAACATTTGGCACATGTTTTACACCAGATACATGTAATTTATTTTTGAATGGCACGCGATCTACCAACACTACCTTTGAGATCGACGTATTGGGCACCCCTGGTCTAACAGAACGCAAGTCGGTATATCTCATTCTTCTTTACATAATCAAACCAGTGTTAGAAAAGGGGGGTAGAAAGAGAAATATATTACAAGTATTCCTCAGCTAGTTGTACATTATCAGTTAATTTTTAATTGTCGTGATTGAATTGAATCGCGTGCACCATATCGTCCCATACTTACTGTATAGTAATAATAGAATACTATGATAATGCTGATATATAATCACTTATATGGGCCAAGTATGTTAAACACACAGGGAATTTGTCTCCAGTACAGAACCGAGGCAGCTTTCTGTGGTGCCAACACACACACACACACACACCCACCCACCTTAATAGTGGCGCTGTCCCTGCAAGGTGGTGCTCTGGCCATCAGTAAAAACTTGGTGTTCAGTGTCTTGTCCAAGGAGATCAGGAATTGAACCATCAACTTTCTGATTGGGGGATGACCACTCTACCTCCGCAACCGCCCCTATGAAATGTTTATAATATCATTACAAGAGGAAACAATGATGTTCATTATTGTATAATCTAATTGCGCAGAGGTTTTCAAACAGTGATCTGAACTATCTATTCACTAATGTGAATTGTGAACAATAGAACCAGTACCATAGTAATACAGTACTATACAGTGATAAAAGCAGTGTGAAAGAAAACAGTATTAGATGTTACTATTTCTTTTACTACTACCCCCATAGTTGTAATAATACTTGTTTTATAATCAAGGGCAAAGTGCAGCTTTATTCTTGTGAAGTGTTTTTTTTTTTTTACAATGTCCAGCATTAGGCCAAGTAATAATCAATAGGTGTTGTTCACATGTCGGGTCTTATGAAACCTGTGTTCTTTAACCCAGGCAGTAATTGATCTCCTGAGGAAATTGCAAATTCACCTGAACAGGTTATCAAGAATCTGCTCAAACTACATTTTTTTATATTTTGGAGCTCATTATTTTGTCTTTCTTTCACTTGTCATGAAAAGGCTGAACGTGTGCACGAGCTGAATGAAGAGATTGGAAAGCTGCTGGCCAAGGCAGAACAGCTCGGGGGCGAGGGGAATGTGGACGAGGCCCAGCAGCTGCTGGAAAAGGTGGAGAAGACCCGGGCCTTAAAGAAAGAAGCAGAGGTCAGAAATTTAACAACTGCTTTGTTGTTAGATTAGTTAAAATAGTCACCATCTTAAATTTTTTCTCACTGAATGTTTAATATGCAACTTACTAATGAACCTGATTCATGGTAACCTGACCTTGCCTCCCCTTACAATCTCTCATCAAAATGGGAAACGAAAAGAGAAATCTATTAATTCACCACCTGAAAATTGTATTCTGAATTAGTATATGCACTAAATTAGGTAAAACAGGTCAGAGTAACAAGCTGTCCTCTACCCATAGCAAGTCCAGGCTATATTCTGCATCATAACAGAGGCTTGCGTCCTAAATTAAATAATATGTTTAAATTGCCAGTATAATTTACTCTTGCTCCTTTGCATTAAAATATTTATTCTTTTAGGATGTGTATAGAAACTCAATGCCAGCTTCCAGCTTTCAGCAACAAAAGCTACGGGTGTGTGAGGTGTGCTCGGCTTACTTGGGCCTCCACGACAATGATCGTCGTCTGGCCGACCACTTTGGGGGAAAGCTGCATCTCGGTTTCATTGAAATCCGCGAGAAGCTTGAAAAGCTAAGGGTAAGGGATGCACAGGCACTATCACATGACTATTGACCAATATAACTTGTAACAAGTGAGTCCGTTGGTTTAGAAGAATATGCACTTGCATATGCAGAATGATCATTAGCAAGTTTTCAGTTATACTATACCTGTTTTTTAACCAGAAAGCAGTTATAGAGAAACAAGAACGAATGCGAATGAGAAGACGAGAGGAGCGAGAAAGAGAAGATGAAAAAGAGCGACAGTGGGAGATCGAGCGGGAACGAGAGAGAGCGCGGGAACGAGAGCGAGAATGGGAGAGAGAACGAGAAAGAGAGAGGGAGCGTAGGAGGTAGGAAACTGTCAGATGTCCACTCTTGCGTTGTACAAACAAAAAGTTGTCACCTACGATGTGAAAATTTCTCATTTGTGTTTCTCTCTTAGGTCACGATCTCGAAGTGGAGACCGATACAGGTACGCCTGCTTTGACAGTAATCTGGAGCACATGGCATCCATTCCTTCCAAAAGAAAAGACCTGAAATAGTGATTCACCTGACCACAGTACATGTTTCTAATAGTGATTCACCTGACCACAATACATGTTTCTACTGTGTGATGGTCCATCCCAGATGCCTCTGAGCCCAGAGCAGTTGACTGTACTTCTGGACACTGTTGACATAGGGCTTCCTTTTGACACAGTACAGTTTTAAGCAGCATTTATGGATGTAACTGCATTGTAGTGCCTGACACAGGTGTGCCAAAGTATCCCTGAGCTCATGTTGTTATATCGCTTATAGAAGAGTGACGATTCTTGATGCAGTGTTGTCGGAGAGATCGGAGCACATGGTCATCAAGCTTAGGCTTACGCCCTTTATGAACTGAAATCCCTCCAGATTCCTTGAACCTTTTAATGATTTTATGCACCGTAGAGGGGTGACGTAGCCATATCCCTTCCTATCTTTCTTTGAGGAACATTGTTTTTAAACATTTCAGGCATTTATCTCAGGCATATGTTGGCAAACTGGTGATCCTCAGCCCATCTTTACTGCTAGGGGGCCTTTCCCGGGTGCCACTGTTGTACCAAATCATGATGCAGTCACCTGTTGACATCACCCGTTTCAAATAGTCATCATTTCGTTGTTTTACCTTGAAATGCAACTGTTCCAACGTTTTTTGGAATGTGTTACAAGCATCAGAATTGACATGAGTGTTTATTCTGAACAAAGAGTATAGTTAATGAGGTATCACATCAAATAATGTGCTGCTGTATTGTTTTCAATGTAATACAGGACACAGATGATTTGCATATCACTATTTTCAGTTTTACTGAAAGTTTTTGTGTGGTGGATACAGGTCACCTTGCCTGAAGTTGAGACTATCACCATCATATCATAAAAAAAGTTCACTTTTGTGAAATAACACTGTCAAGGAACAAGAGCAGAAGTGCAGTGTCACACAAAGTATTTTAATCTATAGTTTAAAGTAGCACAGCCTGTTTGTTTCTCTTAACTTTACTATGAAATCAGTTTTGCTCCATACGTTATTTTTCTAGGGATGGAGGCAGTTCGTCCTCCCATCGTTCAAGACGCCACCGCTCCTCTCATTCCAGAGAAGAAGGTGGAGAGCGGGATCGGGAAAGAGAGAAGAAACATCGACACAGGGACAGGCATCGCTCTCGCTCCCACTCTCACAGGCGCAAAAAGAAGAGGTGAGGAGTTTATCAATCACCGAAGCCTACAGAAAGCATCAATAAGATGGTTACTGGTCTGAGAGTATTTCCTTAACTAATTCACTCAGATCAAGTCACATTACCAGTTGACCAGTGGTCACGCATCAGCTGTTACCTCCTGTTCAGACACACAGACAAAGTGAATGCAGGCAGAGTTGGTTTGATACAACAAGCTTATTTGAGATGAATCAGATCTGCGCTGAATCATCACCAGCAATTGCCACACAATGCCTGCTGGTTAGATTTTGTCCAACTTGATCCCTGTTTCCTGTGATGTAAAGCAGACATAGGCAGTAATATTCTCACGACATCAAAGTGGTGGCTGCTTTTGTTGTCAAGTGCAGCAATTTGCTCTCCACTGACTGAGCTTAGGGTGTAGTTCAAAATGTCTGGCTCTCTGCTGATCCAATAGCTGATTGGTTTATATGCTGGATCAATAACATGATATGTTATGGAAACTAAACAATTGGCGGAGGTCAGAAATTGCTGGTATTCAGCATGATTGGTCTTGACCGGTGACTGGCCGATCACTCTGAGATGTCCAATTCTGTGCCATTCAAGTTTAGAGACACGACAGTCCACATTGCACTCGCAGTGACAGCCCAAAAGTGTAGCATGTGCAGCACGTAGCATCTCACAGGCACCTCGAGCGAGACTAGCTCTTGTGTCCGTACTGGGCACGTGTTCACTCATGCATTGGAAGCGCTTGTTGTACAAAGAGAGACACAGAGGAGCCTACGCAAACACCTTGGAGAAGAGAATCTGCGTCCAAATCTCAGACAAATAGTTCACAATGAGGGAATTAGTGGCTGCACATGAAATGCATGTATATGTACAGTGAATCCAACCCGTCCAACAGACAATCTTCTGAGTACAAATACTGCACTTCATTTTTAATTTGTAAAAAAAAAAAATAAGAGAAAGGCAGAGATGTAAAACTTTAATACTGTTATAATTTTATTACAGTTTTACAAAATGTCTCTATGCTCTTAATTACAGTTCTTAGACA